TCACACGTACACTCACCCCTCACCACACCCCCCAAAACTCGCTCTCCAGAAAGAACCAGAAACACACACACTCCACCGTCAGCCCCTTGCATGACATCCTGTGGGCTTCACCAGGTACTGCCGGGGTGGAAGGGACAGACACAGGCCCTCTCTGAGGACAGGGGCATCCTGGGGACGGGGACCCACCGTGTCCATGCTTCCCTGGCCTGCCCCGTGAGCTCCTGGGATCCCATCAGGAAAGCCAACAGAGCAGAGATTCCAGCAGGGTCGCTGAGGAGTGCGGCCAGCACTGCCTGCTGGATGGCTCTCTCCCTGTCAGAGCCCTCGGGCGACCCTCCTGTGCAGCCAGGGTTCTGTATTAACTCCCCAGGGGCATCTGCGTCTTCACTAGGTCCAGAGATCTGAGGAGCGACCTTCTCTCGGGAGAGTTTCCAGGTAGCTGTGGGACGGGGAACAGCGCACAGGAGTTGGGATCAGAAGAGCTAGGTCTACCACAGTCTGTCTTCACTTCCTGGGCGTGAGGCCACTTCCATGTCCCCCTCACAGATGTGGCCTGAGGCTCCCTGGCAGTGGCTACGAAGCCACACACATCCCTAAGGCATTATTCAGACCTGAGGAGAAGTGCCCACTGCTTAAGGTGAAGGCTGGGACCCACCAGAGGGCGAAGACAGTCCCACAGACTCAGAGAGCCACACGTTCCAGCCACACGCACCCGCCATGCCGGGGCCACTGAACCAGACGCAGCTTCACGTGTCACCAGCTGGCAGTGTGACCTCTGCATGTCAGTGTCCCCGTGTCAGACGCCGAGGTCAGTGCCGCTCTGAGCCCCCCTGGTGGGTAAAGGAGACACAGGATGTGACGTCCTGGGGCAGCAGCGTGATCCTGGCCTCCCAGGGGGTCCATGTGACGTGGAGAGAGGTCAGCTCTCGCTCCTGGAGACAGGACATCGCCACCAGGGTGAGCGGCCCTCGGGCAGATGGGGCACCACAGTTTGCTGAGCAAAACCAGCGAGAATAAGAGCTGGAGTCATGGGTCCCGGGGCTGGAGGGGGCCTCGGACGTCACCTGTGCCCCTGTTCAGAGGGACGAGGTCAGGACGATGCCAGGTCCTACCCCCAGGCCTGCAGCAGTGTGTGCTGCGGGCGCCCAGCCTGCGCCTCCCCTGGCGGTGCCCTCTCTCCGCTCTGCCCCGCTGAGAACTGCTGCCCAGCAAGTGCCGGCCAGAGCAGAAACCGCGGCCCCGCCAGGCCCTCGTGCCAGCGCAGCCAGTGCAGGTCTTGTGGGCTGGGAGGCCTCCTCCCCGGCTGCTCCTGCCACGGCCGCCACTGGCCTGCTCTCAGCTGCAGCATTGTGGGGACATAGACGCAGGGAGGCCACCGCTGGCCCAGGCCCTCGCGCGGCAGAGTCAGGACAGCGGAGGGCTGCTGTGCTCACCTTGCTGTGGGCTGCAGTCGTGAACAGCAGGGCCCACCCGCACCCTGGAGCTCCCCAGGGAGCCAGAGACTCAGACCCCCCAAGTCCAGGGATTGGGCGAGGGCCCCGGGGCTAGGAGAAGAGGGCTGAAGGGACCCATCCCTACAATCATCAGAAGAGGCCCTGGCTGGCACTCACCAGGAGAAATGGAGCAACAGAACTTCAATTTGCCAAAACTGAACCAAAATCAGAAAGATACTCAAACTGAGTGATTGGACGGGAAGAGGCTGGGCAGAAGTATCATCAGGAGGAGACATGAAATGGGAGGGGGTGAGGGAGCGGACAGCACCCAGGCGCCGGGAGGCAGGGAGCACCCTGGGGAAGAGTGGCAGAGGCCTAGCGGGGAGGCCCGAGCTCCAGCCGCGGTGCCCCGCAGAACAATCTGGGAGAGGGAGAGGGGGGCGTGGCAAAAACTGGTCAGGGGGATCGGGGAGGATGGACCCTGTTGGCTAGCTGGCGCCCGGGGGGCCTCCCAAGCTGGTCTGCACTGATTTCCCAACTGGCTGAGCCAGAGCTGAAGGCAGAGTGAGGAGGCCATCTAGCGGCGGGGCGGGGGGAGGCGGAGGCCCAGGAGGCACATCCGCGGGGTGGGGGCAGGAGACAGGCAGCCACCTGTCCTCAGCAGGGATGCTGGTGAGAGATGGAGGGAAGGATGGAGGGAGGGGTGGCTGGAGGGACTGAGGGATGGATGCAGATGACCACAGGCAAGAGGGGCAGCACCCAGACCAATTAGAAATGGATCCTGAGGGTTCTCTGGGCTGTCTGGTCAGGTCAGGCAGAGGCTGGGGTTTGGAACCTCTGACCTGATGGGGAGGGGCCCGAATTGTCTGGAGGGGGAAAGGCAAAGAGAGGGAGCCATCTGGTGTCTGGAGGTGGAAGACAGCCTGTGTCTGGCGTCTGGGACGTGGGGAGGGGGCAGAGGAAAAGAAGGGGAAGAGGGGGTGGCCCGAGGCCTCAGCTTCTCCGGTGGCCCGGCCGGAGCCCTTGCTTCCAGGGCAATAAATACAAACTGCGACTGATTTTTGTCCAGATTTCCCACCAACCCATGACAGGGAGCAAGCCCTTGGAAATAAGGCGTCAGCGGCGGGTTTTATGGTCCATCATCATTTCATTCCTGAGGATTGGCCAGTCTCCAGGCAGGCGGCCCCTGACAGGCTCTTGGGGTGTCCAGGGCTGGCCGCGAGATGTGGAGGGCGGTGGTGGCCTCGACCAGACCCTGGGGCAAGGAGGCCTGATGGGCTTGGGAACCCCCCGGGCCGCCGGGACGAGTGCAGGGCCATGGCGCGTGCCTGTCCTGCTCCCGGCCAGGAGGGAGCCAACCGCCTGGGCACCCAAGGCCTGCTGTGCCCACGCGGAGCTCTCCACGTCTCAGGCTTCGGCTTCCCAAGCGCAGGCGGTGCGGTGCGGGGGGCCGAGATCCCTGCACGTGCGGCAATCGCGTGCCCTGGGCGTGCGCCTCCGGCCGGGTGCTGCGCTCTCGGTGGCGGCTCAGAGGGCCCCAGGCTCCAGCCGCAGGGTCTCGGGCAGTGCTGCGGCCCTTCCGCACGTGCCTGGGTTTGTAAGAGGAGGGTGCAAAAGCAAAAAATAAAAAATAAAAAGAGTGGGGAAAGGGAAGAAGGGAAGGGACTGGGGCAAGGCGAGATGCCATGGAGAGGGAAGGCAATCAAAAAACTGGAGTGTCCCCAGGGTGCGGTGGCTTCTCATGCCGGCACCACCCAGGGTGTTATATCCACACGAGCTGTGCAATACCCACCTCCAGCAGGCAGCCCCTTCTGGGTGCAGGGCCGGGTGTCCTCTCTGTATCTGTTTTCACTGGGAGCACACAGACGCACAGAGCACACAGCCTGGACAACGAGTCAGACCCCTTTACCAGTCAAGCGGAGACCCTCCTGCGCCCACTAGGCCTTCATAAGGTTGAGTGCTGCTCTCCCACCTTGCCCAGAGGTGGGTGTTCTTCCCAGTACGTTGATTCTTCACAAATCATAGGATAGAAAAAGCAGGAGAGATGGGGGGGGGGAGCCTGGATTGTCCTCCTGAGCACCCCAGACTGGCTGAGCCTTGATAATGCTCAGTCTCCAGTCTCCTCAGGGCCATGCTAGATGGCTCTTAGAATGTCCCCTTCCATTACCCCCTCAAAAACAAGTTTATCTGCACAGGGGCTTTCCTGGACTGCTGGAAACATCCCATTGTTTTGAGGGCCACAGGCTGGGCTGGGGTCAGGGGAGAGCACTCAACCTCACAGAGGAGGCTCCGGGGCTGACTCCTTCTCAGGGCAGCGTGTCCACTGGACACGAAGAGCCCTCACTCCCCGGCCTTACTGCAGAGCAGTTATTGTGTATGAGTGACCTGGAGAGGGCCCAGAAGAAAGAGGGCATGTTCTCCAAAAAGGGGAAATTTCAGATTTTATTTTTCTTGTTCAAAGAGGATTTTTTGAGTTCCTTTTCTTCCTGAAAGAAGTGCAAGGATTGGGGACCTAGTATGACCAGCTCTGAGTGCCTTGTCCTCTTCTGCATGCCCCTCTTTGACCAGAATGCTGCGCCCCCAGGCCACTGCCCCATCTGGGCTGCAGCCCCCGGGACCCTGAGGATGGCTTTGCAGAGCTCCCTGGAAGGCGAGCTCGGCAGGCTGTGGAAGGAGCCTGAACTCCACATTCAGCTCATCCCTGGCCTGCACTTTGCTCCAATCGATTGATGGTGGGGGTGGTGTGTGCACAGCCTTGCCCACTCCCCACTGCCCCCAGGCACCGTGGGCCCCCACCCACCCCCAGACACCAGCACCAGCTCCCTGCTCCGAGCTGAAGCACAGCACCCAGAGCCACTTGGCCCAGCCAGCAGCACAGTCCCTCAGTTCATTCTGTATCAGCCCCTGAGCACGCCTCCATCCCATCTTCAGAGGACGAAAAATAATGCATTTATTGAAACACAGTAAAGGAGCAGTATTTTCAAGTTTTTCTAAGGCGCTTAAAGCACTTCAAATAGCAATGCTTTAAGTTGTGGTCAGTCCAAGGATGTTGAATATTCAGGAGGAGGCACAGACCCTCTGTCTTTAAAACGCAGGGAGACCGGGTCTTGCATGATACAGTCTCTGAAAAACTATTTAAATAAGACCTGGGCAGTTTGCCCCTCAAAAATGTGAGACAATATTTGTTTGATGGTCAAAGCTGGGGGCGGGGGTCTAGACTGTCCTTTAAAAACTTAAGTTGGTTTTAACTGAAGCACCTACCATTCTGGAGAAAGTGAAGGGGGAACGCGGAGATGTGCACAAAGCAAGAGTAATTGATGTTATCCTGAGGAACGTGCCTCCGCCCTCCCGCCCACCTCTGTCTCAGTAAAGATTTTTTTTTTTTTAACTCGAAGCCTTCAGGTGAAAATAAAGCAACAGCAGCAACAGAAAAAAAAAAATTTAGTCTTTTTTAGGGTTAAACATCAGAAGACAAGCTTGTGCTGCCTTGGCCAATCAGATACGCCCCTGCCAGCTATAATATAGTACTGACGGCAGCCTCTCTCACAAGCTCTCGAGGCTTGCTACCATTTAAAATCAGACTCTTTTTGTCTTTTGATTGCTGTCTCGCGCCCCAACTCCGATGTGTTCCGTTATCAGCGACCAGCAGCCAGCCGTTCCAGCCCCCGTCTGGGTGGGGATCAGCGGCGAGTCCCCTGCAGCAGCGGCAGGCAAGGTTATATAGGAAGAGAAAGAGCGAGGCACAGAGCGAGGGAGCCAGCAGCAAGCCGGAGCGAGCAAGGGAGAGCGCAGCCCGAGCGCACAGGCACACACACACTTGCACACACAGCCCCACACGGGGACAGCTTTGAAGTCACTGGGTTCCATGGACGAGATGCTGCTGCTGGCGAGATGTCTGCTGGTGGTTCTCGTCTCCTCGCTGCTGATGTGCTCGGGGCTGGCGTGCGGACCCGGCAGGGGATTTGGGAAAAGGCGGCACCCCAAAAAGCTGACCCCTTTAGCCTACAAGCAGTTTATCCCCAACGTGGCTGAGAAGACCCTAGGGGCCAGTGGAAGATATGAAGGGAAGATCTCGAGAAACTCGGAGCGATTTAAGGAACTCACCCCCAATTACAACCCCGACATCATATTTAAGGATGAAGAAAACACTGGAGCGGACCGGCTGATGACTCAGGTAGAAACCCAGCACCGGGCGTGGAATGTGTTGCTTTCACGGGGTTACGTGTAACCAAGCAGTTGCAGACTTAGTCTGCTTGCTCCTGAGGCAAATAGAAGGCCATCTCACCCTCTCCTTCCCCACCCACCTGCCTCCCTACCTGCCCTCCTCTTCCTGGAGGGAATGGAGGGAAGGGTCCAGCTAGAGAAGTTTAGGGTGGGGGCAGGGGAGGAAGGTAGCAGACGGTCCATACATGGCCCTGATTTGATTTGTCCTGCTGGGATGGCCTTCCCATCCTGCCTCAGCTCTAGCTTGTAACTCGAGGAGACCTTCACTTTGGGGGCATCTGTCCTTTCTGAGTTGGGAGTGGAAATGGAGGGAGGGGGCAAGGATCCCCTCAAACACAAAGTGGCTTACAGGTCACTGTACAATGTGGCCTTGACCATTACGCTTCAGACTGTACACGGCCCCATCTCCTCTGTGGTTTTCTTTCCCACAACTACCCCCACCCCACTGGGCCCCCACCAAAGACCCTCAATGGGAAAAGCCAGGAGGCAGTTCTGACAAAAGGCAGGGGCTCCAGAGGCGGCTGGGCTGGTCCCTGATGGGCTCGCAGAGCTCCACAGGCGATCCCAGCGGGGCAGTCTTGCCCATCAGAGTGTGAATGTATTGATATTTCTTTAAGGATGCTCTTACATTCTCCCGAGCCCGCGGTACCTGAGGGGAGGGACTTAGAACTTATCGGCATTGCATCACACTAGTTTCCAACCTGCTTGCACAGGAATTGGGAGCGACTAAATATTAGCGGGAGAGGACTGGAAAGGAGAACCAAAGCAAAGCAAGCATCCTCTCCCCCCCCCCCCACCTCCATTGGAGACTTCTGGCTGCCAATCTCCCCACCAATGGCAGACTTTCTGAAACTCCACGCACGTATAACTGAAGCTAGAAATGGATTTCCTGGCAAATATAGGTCAACATCCTTTTTATTGCCCTATTAAAATATTCAAGTCCTACCTTTAGGGCTAGGAGCGCACCGCAGCTGACAGAGCGGCGCTGGTGGGGCGCAAGTGCAGGGGAGGGTGGGGGCGGGAGGGAGAGAGGAGCACCTCCGGGCCGCTCGGCTTCCCAGCCCGGTTCCCGGCCTTGCTGCGGAGCTGAGAAAGGAGAGGGGCACCCGGGGTAGCCGGCTTGAGCTGACAGAAGGGGTGGGAAAGGGAGCGGAGGAGAGGGTCGGCATCCCTCACTCTCTCTCATAAGCTCCCGGCCACCTTAAATCTGGATCGCTAGTGCGGACGCACGCGCCTGTGCCCGAGAGCAGCGCGAGCCACAATTAACTCTGCGCAGGCCTCGGGGCGCCCCGTGCGTGCGGCGGGGGCTCTGACCCCCTGGTCACCCTTGCTCCCCGCGGGAGGGAGGTGGCCTTCCCGGGGTCCCCTGGGACCGGGGAAGAGGGAGGCGACGCAAGAGAAAGCGGCGGGGGCGGGGACACCAGAGGTTCCGAGCAGAGGGGTCAGCGTCCGCCCTGGGCTGCGCCGGGCCGACGCTGGAGGGGGTCCCGGCCTCGCCGCCCTGCTGCCAAACCGCGAGCGCGCGGAGCCGCGCACCCCGGCAGACGCATTTGGGCTCCACTTACTCCGGGGCTATCGATCCCGCGGCTAGGGTTTCAGTGCGCGGGGGTGGGCTGCGGCCGCCCGCCCGGCCCTCCACGCGCCGAAGCGCGGGCTTGGCCAAGGCTAATGGCAGGGCTCCGACGGCCGCGATGGCCCCGGCGGCGCAGGCTGGACCAGCGGCAGGAGAAGCCGGTTCCAGGGCGGCCTCCCCGCCGCCTCCCCGGCCTCTCGGCCCCGGCGCCTCAGCCCGAGCCCCCAGTCGGGTCTCTCTTCCGGCCGCCCCGCCGGGGACCCACGGCCAGCGGCCCCGCGCCCGGCCCTCTCGCCGCCGCATACGCGGGCAGCATTTGAACTTCTGACCTTCTGTCAACTTCCCTCAGACGAACGAAACGAAAACAAATACTTTTTTTCCTTGGGCAGTGGCTATTCCCGTTCCCAACACAAAAGGACGGGGGAGGGGCAGCCAACGTGCGGGGGGGGGGGGGAGAGCCGGGCCAGGATTGTATCACGGACCCCACAAATGTCCCCTAAAAGCGCGGATGGCTGGGGCCGGCCTGGAAGGTGCCCCTGGGTTTGTCCCTTCCCTGTCTCCTTCTTCTCTGGTTCTAAAAGTTGAAGGAGGGGAGGGATGGGGGAGGCGTTGGACCCGGGCGGCGAGGGGCAGGGCGGAGGTGAAGGGGTGACGCCGGCACGCCTCCCAGGCCAGGGCAGGTTAGGGCTCCTGGGGAACCTGCTCACCGCGGGCCCCTCATTTAAGATAACCACGTTGCCACTGTTCTCAGGTGCGTCTCCCTCCAGCCCTGTCTCGGCCGTCCCTCCGCGTCTCCGTGTCTCTCTATCTCTCTAATGTGACTGCCGCCCAAGTCCCTCAACCATGGCAAGATCGTCCCCAGTGGAACTTTCAGAGCAGTTCTGGAACGCAGGAGCTCCTGGTTAATATTAACTCGGAGAGGGGGAAGCGCAGACAGCACCTCTCCGCGCAGGCCGCGGGTGCCAGGGGGGTCTGCGGGGGCAGGAGGCCGCGAGGGGCCGGCACGGGGCTGCCGAGGGGCTCCCGAGGGGCTCCACCTGAGACGCCACGTGGAGTACATTTCTGTGGCGTGGCGGCCCTGGGGACGGCGCTCAGGTGTGGGTTCGAGGAGGGTTCTCCTGTTTTGATGCGAGGCGTCTGATTTTCCGGAGTGGGGGGAGGAGAGGGCGGAGAGAGGTGTGTCTAGGGACTAGGGGTCTCTTTTGAAGCTGGGACACCCCTCCCCCGCACTGGGGAAGCCCGTGGGCCGTTGGCGGTGACAGTCCCTGCTCGGGCTTCTGGGCGCGGAGCGGCTGCGCAGACTGGGGAGGCGGCGGGAGCTCAGGCGTGGGGAACAACCTGACCTCCGCCGACACAAAGCCCGCCTGGCGGCCCCGCCGGGCTTCACGGTGGCTGCACAGAGTCCGGCTTGATTCGCGGCACACGACTCAGTGAATTGATAACCGGCCTGGGCTTCGCGGCTTTGCCTGCGCCGAGCGCCGGGCCGGGGCGCAGAGCGTCCTGCAGCCACGGGCCGAGGCCGCGCCGCGCCTGCTGGCGCCGGGGAGGCGCGTGGGGCGCGGGGCGCCCACTCGGGCCTGGCTCGGCCCGGGGCTTCTCGCCGGGGGTCCTCCAGCTCTTGCCCAAGTAGCGCAGCTCAGGGCGCTGGGGGCTGGTACGCGTCCTCCCCATCTTGCCCTCCCCCTCGCCAGGTGCCGGGTGGGAAGCTGCTGAAAGCTTCATCTGCCCTCCAGGAGGAGGAAACCGGGGTGGGATGGGGGCTCCGGACGCGGTGTGTGCGTGTGCGTGTCGGCGGTGTGCGCCTGCGCAGCCGGCTTCACATCCCGGCTCTAAACTGACCCTGGTTTACTGATTGATTTTCATGTAAAACGCGTTCAGTTCTCAAGATGACCTCACTCAAACTCTGCCCTTCCGAGTTTTTTGTTTTTTGTTTTTTGTTTTTTTTAAGAAAACTGCTGGCAGGCCCAGAAACCTGCAAGAGCTGATCTGTTACCAGGGCCGCCCTCTCTCCCTCTGCCCCCCCCCCGCCCATTTGTTGTATGTTTAACTCTACAACCATGTTACTGGTTTTTATTGTTGCCAAATACACAGGGCTCTTCCTGTTGCGCAATCTGTCACATCCCCTTAACACGGGGGCCGCGGCCCTTCTTGCAAGAGCCCCCTCCCCTGCTCTGTAGGAAGAGCTCCCCCGCGCTGTGGTGACGTGGTGAGGGTCGTCGATGGGGCCGTCTCTCCAGCCCGGTGCCCAGGCTCCCAAGCAGAGCAGCCGCCCGCCCGGAGGAGACCAGCCCTGCCCTCTGCAGAAGTCACCCTGAAACTGTCGCCTACTCCAGGGGGTCTGCCTCTCCCGGGGATGCCTCGTCAGGATTTGTACCCACTTCCCGTCTTTCAAATCCCGCACCCCGCCCCCCAGCAGCAGTATAAACGACCGGGGAGTTAGTACCCACCCAAACACACACACTTGACTCAACTCTGTTTTTTCTTGCATCCTTATCTGAACGGGACCGAGAATTATGCGGGGAACTCCCACAACCCGGGGTTCCACTTTGCCCTGGTTGGTGTCCCGCCTAGTCAATGTTTCTTTACTCCTACAGGCGGCTCGGGGAGGAGGGGGGTGGGGGGGTTGGGGGCCCAAGGGCAATTTCAAGAGGGAGACTCCCCAGGGCGAGGGCTCCAAGGCGCAGGCCTCTGGGCTCCCATCCCCCAGCCTCCGCCTCCACCTCTTAAGTTTGCTCTTCAAACTTGCTGGACACCATTCTGCGCTGGGGCCAAGAAAACAAGAGGGGGGAAGGGAACAGGTTAGCGAAAACAAGAGACACAATCAGACCACAGAAAAGCCGGGAGAAAAGAGTTCCACAGCAAAAGGAATGTGGCTGTCCAGATAAAGACTGTTTGTCCTCCGCTCGCTGCACGGAGAAGTCTCACTCACCTGGTAGCCTTTCACTTCTGGCTCCCCCTCCCCAAGCACGGCTGTGGGCTTCCCACCTCCCTCTCCACCTTTGGCTTAATTCTCACCTCAGATAGGCATAGGGTAGGAGGGAGGGTCCAGAGATAAGGCAAGGCTTTTAATTCTTTAAGAAGTAGACAGTGTATTTTTCTTGATTTCTGCAAAGTTGCACATTGGGCCTCTCTCCGGCCCCCTGATGAGGAAGTGTGCCCAGGGAGATGGGTGGAGCCTTGCACAGGTGGGAGAAATGGGGCCACAGAAAGGGGCTGAGGAGTGGAGGGCGTCCTGGGGGAGGAGTGGGGCATTGCCGAGCATGCCCCCTCTGTGTTCTGCAGCCATTGTCTGAAAACACGCAGTTTCCTTGTTTCAAAGAAAAGCCATCTGCCTCTCAGGCCATGGTGGGGGCTCTGCCACTTCAGAACTTGGAGAAAGGCCCTCATGTCAGCTCATCTCCAAGAGGACTTGCTCCCCGAGCAGAGGTCACCCCTCCTTGCCGCCTAGTGCCATCGCTTCTGAGCTGGCTGGGCCCCGCTGCAGGCCTTGTCTCTCTACTTGTCCACACAGCCCGAGTCCTCAGGGATGGGGCAGGGCAGCTGATGCAGGGGCGGGGACGGGTGGTGGGCCCTAACATCTGTGGGGTCGCCCCTTCTCTCCGCAGAGGTGTAAGGACAAGTTGAATGCCTTGGCCATCTCAGTGATGAACCAGTGGCCGGGAGTGAAGCTGCGGGTGACCGAGGGCTGGGACGAGGACGGCCACCACTCAGAGGAGTCACTGCACTACGAGGGCCGCGCCGTGGACATCACCACCTCAGACCGAGACCGCAGCAAGTATGGCATGCTGGCGCGCCTGGCCGTGGAGGCCGGCTTTGACTGGGTCTACTACGAGTCCAAAGCGCACATCCACTGCTCCGTGAAAGCAGGTGAGGGGTGGGAAAGAGATAAATGGGGAGGGGCACGAGGCGCAGGGAGGGAGGCAACTGGGTGATGTGAGAGCACACCCTATAAGGGGTGTCCCCCCAGCCAGGAACTGCCCCTACCTTTGAGGCCACGGAGGCCCAGGTTCTGGGAGCCCAGATGCAGAGGGCATGCGGCTTCCTGAGCCTTCCCCAACCCTGTTTCCGGAGCCCCACTGCAGGTGGCGCAGACAGGGCAGCACGAATGGGGAGGGCGTGGACTTTCCTGGTGAGAGACTGCAGCCCTGCACGGTTAGCCAGGTCTGGCTGAGCTCCTTGTCTCATTTAAGGCTTAAGAATCAACCGCCCCCCACTCACCCCCCAGCACAGGAGGTTCTGTCCAGGGTCTAAGCCCCTCATCTTCTCCCCTCCCTGCTGAGCGCCTCTGGAGTCTAAACCAACTTAACTCACTGCTAAGCCTTTCGGGAGAAGCCTGGTGGGAGGTAATAAACTGAGTAGTTACCACTTCCAACATCTGGAGGCCGCAAGCCCAGAAGCATCCGTCCTTATTAGGAGCCAGCTGGGCTGCCCTGAGCCACAGGCAGGGCCAGGAAAGCCGATCGGAGTCTGCAGCTGGAGCCCGGCCCTCGGTGAGGCCGCCTTCCCTGGGCCTGCAACGCCACTCGCTGTTGCTGGCGAGGAATCGCTCTGCCGGGAAGGCGCTGACGCACACGCGCAGAGCTCCCCACCTGGAGACCGCATGCGGAGCTCTCCAGCGCTCAGCATAGGTTGGCGCATTTACCAGAACAGTTCACAGTGAATTTCGGAGGAACTGTCTCTGCCCCACCCCCCTCCCCAGTTTTGCCTGTTTGTCTCCTAAGCTGTATTTTAATAGCATATGTTACTAGGAAAACACTTTTTAAAGTGTCAAGACACACTTCGTAGGTAAGGAAAAATAGTGGCTTCTGGTCACAACAGAAAGAAAGGTGTGGAAGGGGTTGGGGGAGGGGCTGGGCTTATGGCGCGAGAAAGGGTCTCAGTTGCAGGGAGGAGGAGAAGGCGGCGCCCCCACTTCGCGGGGCTGCGCGGCGGGAAATGGAGGCGCGGCGGGAGGCCCCGGACGCGCCCTTCCCGGACCTCGTGGCTGCGCTCTCCTTGCGCGGCCCCCTCTCGGGCCAGCCCTGTCCGCGGGGTCCCCCTGGCGGGAGCGAGGGTCCATAAAGGTCTCCTCGCAAATGAGCAGCGGTAATCCCGCCCCGAGGATCTCGCTGGGGGGAGCAGACCCCCGGGGCACGGAGAGCCGCTCATTGGCATTCCGTGCACGCGGGCCGGGGCACGGTGCGGTGCGTGTCAAGCAGGGTCGTGCGACTCGACGACTCGGGCTCGCCTGCGCCCCGGGTCGCATTCCGGGGGGCTACGGCGGGCCTCCAACGGCCAGGCCCGCACTTCATGCCAGAGAAACCGATGAGAAGATTAAAATCCCTCTGTAATTCCAGCGGGAAGATTCTTTCTCGTCATCTCTATTTGCAAAAAGCGTGATCCTGGAGATTGGAATGCAAAGACGACTGAGACCTCCCCGCCCCTCCTCGCCGGCCCCCTGCGCGCCGCCCAGACTCTGATAATTGTCCTCGGGACAGTGAGCCTCAGAGAGCGACGGAGGGCTCGAGAAAGCGGGTAGTCAAGGGGCCTTGAGAACCCGGCCGCTTCCAGCGCTCGAAGCAGGCCCCGCCATTTAAAATTCAAATACACATCTCGAGAGCTTGGAAGAGAGGCCTGGCTGTGCAAATAGTGCTTGTGAGGCCCGGTCTCTGGAGAGCCCGCGTGTGAATCGCAGGAGGAGGGGGTGCACCTGAGCAAATAGGGAGGGGGCGGCCAGAGAGCTGGAGAGAGAGTGAGCTGAGAAAGGGGAGGGGGAGCCATGGAAGTGTCCCCTCTTCCAAGAGTGTCTCCCATTTATTGCAGAGATCACAATGACAACGCAGGACCCTTTATTGGATTTTAATTAGAAAATCCACACAAGCCCCGGATTTTCACACCTCGGCCAATTCTCTGGAATGTTTATCCAGTTGCTACAACTACTACAGCTATTTTTCACGCCCCGCCCCCCAACTGGCCGACATCAAGGCCCCCGGCTGGGCTTTGAGGCGGGCGTGAGAGGGGTCCCCGCCGCGCAACTCCAATGTGCAACGCACGAGGGAGCGCCGCGCCCTGCACAGGGGATGGGAGGGAAGGAGAGTGCGCCCTGGCGCCCGAGTGAGCTCAAGGAGGCTTCCTGAGGAATCCAAGTGGAGAGCAAACACCCTCTGAATTCGTGGCGAGGTGGGGTGTGTGCTGAGCCGGGGGATGGGGTGGGAGGAAGGCGGAAGGCAAGGAGTGTAACCCGCCTCCTGCCAGAGACGCCAGCCAAACTTTGTCACCGCCAGTCCAGTCCTAAGAGAGTCGTTAAGGAATGTGTCTGCTTCTGAATTTTGTCCCGGAGGCGGTGGGGCTGGGGGAGGGAGGGCTCCGCTGGACCAGCCTGGAATCTCTCCTCCAAGCTGCGCGCATCCCCGTTCTGGGCGAGCGGGACACCAAGCGTGCGTCCCCCCTCTCCACACGTGCCTCTCTCTGGGAACTCACCACCCTGTCTCCTCTTTTCTCCCTTCTCCTCCTCTGCAGAGAACTCGGTGGCAGCCAAATCGGGCGGCTGCTTCCCGGGCTCGGCCACGGTGCACCTGGAGCGGGGCGGCACCAAGCTGGTGAAGGACCTGCGCCCCGGGGACCGCGTGCTGGCGGCCGACGACCAGGGCCGGCTGCTCTACAGCGACTTCCTCACCTTCCTGGACCGCGACGACGGCGCCAAGAAGGTCTTCTATGTGATCGAGACGAGGGAGCCGCGCGAGCGCCTTCTGCTCACCGCCGCGCACCTGCTCTTCGTCGCGCCGCACAACGACTCGGCCGCCGGGGAGCCCGGGGCGCCGTGGAGCGCGGGGCCGCCGCCGGGGGGCGTGCCGGGGCGCCGGGCGCTCTTTGCCAGCCGCGTGCGCCCGGGCCAGCGCGTGTACGTGGTGGCCGAGCGCGGCGGGGACCGCCGGCTCCTGCCTGCCGCGGTGCACAGCGTGACGCTGCGCGAGGAGGCCACGGGCGCGTACGCGCCTCTCACGGCGCAGGGCACCATCCTCATCAACAGGGTGCTGGCGTCGTGCTACGCGGTCATCGAGGAGCACGGCTGGGCGCACTGGGCCTTCGCGCCCTTCCGCCTGGCGCACGCGCTCCTGGCCGCACTGGCGCCGGCGCGCACGGACCGCGGCGGGGACGGCGACGGCGGAGGCGGCGGCCGTGTCCCTCCGCCCGCGCCAGGCGCGCCAGGTGCGCCAGGTGCGGCCGACGCGCCAGGTGCCGGAGGCGTCCACTGGTACTCGCAGCTGCTCTACCAAATAGGCACCTGGCTGTTGGACAGCGAAGCCCTGCACCCGCTCGGCATGGCGGTCAAGTCCAGCTGAAGGCCGGGGCCAGAGGGCGCGGGTGGGGGGCGGGGCGGGGGGGCAACAGCAAGATACAGACACACGGAAAAAGCGCGCACGGAATGAGACTTTAACTATAATATTAATTAATAATAATAATAAAGTAGGACAGTCCAAAGTAGACTCTAAGGAAACAAAGACCCCGGAAAGTTCTGTCGTTGTGTTTAGTTTATATATATATTTTTGAATTTTTTGGTTATTGTTTTATTTTGGTTATTTTTTTCACCTCTCCTGGCTATTTATTTGTTTGGTATGAATAGATGTTTTAAATAATATGAACCGGACCTTCAAGAGCCTTAAATAGTTTGTTTCTTGGATAATTTATTATTATCATGTGAACTGTACTCACAGGGGGAAAGATTATTTTGTGAGGCCAAGCGACCTGCTCAGAGTCTATTTTTCTACATGTCCCTCGTCCTGACTTTCAGAAAGCAAAATTCTGTCCTCTCCATTCCTCTTTCCCAGTGCTCCTGCTGTTCAGCAAGTGTAAACTAAAACATGCTTCCTGGGGGTCCACAAATTATATTTTTATACACAGAATTGTAAATTAGATTTTTTGAGAGATCAATACTTAACTGAATTACATTTCATTTTTGAAATAGTGTAAAATATGAAAATATATTATTTTAATTTAACTAGTTTCCAGTGTCACAGCCATCTCCTGTATTGTCTTCATGGTTTAATATTTGCTTTGTCATCACCATTTTGGCCACATTCTTGGAAATCAAGACAGTTACACACTCGGTCACACACACTTTTTTTTTTCTGAACAAACTGGAGGAACTCTGTTATTTTTAACTTCAAAGAATTTATTAGAAAATAATATTTTTTAAAAGCGCACATAGTGATGAGCCCACAAGGATGGAGCCTGTAGTTTGTACAGAGAAAAACAAAGGATGTTTTTGCATTAATAAATTGAGAAATAACTGCTGTAAATTTACTAAAATGTATTTTTGAATATTTTGTAATAGTTTTATAGAAATAAAATGTGCCATGCACAGACTGGTTAGTATATAATAACTAAGAATTCCTGTTGCAGGCCTTTTTCTTTTCTTTTTTGGCTTCTTTGCCTGGGAAACCTGGTGCTGACAGGATTTCCCAGTATTATATTTAGATGTGTTGCTTATACTGTGAATTCAGATCAACTGAAGCAGGGAACCAGATCTGCTTATTAATTGTCATCCGTGGAGAAACCTCAGCTCTGTTTGTATTTGTTGTGTGAAAGTCTCTCTACACCCCAAAGGTTGGGGATGCTGTGCTGGGGGCTGGTCTGCTCCCACCCCGTAACCAGCACAGCCTAACCTGTGGGCCTGGAGGAGGTGGCCCTGGGGGCAGTCACCCAGAACTTTCTCCCCAGGCTCCGTGTACTTGTTGGCGGACCTCGGGCCCTCCGCTTGGCTGCCCCAGGTTGGGGTGCCACGTCCCCTAGCCTCGCAGGGAGGAGGTCCCTAGCTGCTTTCTGAAGTCCTGGGGTGCCCTTTTCAGCAGGGTCCCCGAGGAGAGACCAGGTATTCTTCTCTGAACTCCCAGAATCTGCAGGAGGCCCACTGCTGCGTGCGCGGTGTCCCCTGACCCTCCATCCTCTCCCATCACAGCCGCTGGAGTCTCAGGGCTGTGGGGGTTTCCAAGCCCAAGTTGTCTGTCTGGAGTGGTTGTTCAGCATGGACTTTTGTCCCTAGGGCACAGCTCTCCTCTAGTGGGCACCCTCGGGTGGGTGCTCTATGTCGGTGGGGTCTGGGGGAGAAGTCCTCCGTGCTGTGTTGTAGGCCCAGCTGAGGGGGCTCTGCCCTCGGCCATTGCTCCGAGCGCTATGGCTTATGGAAGGCTTCTGCCTTGCTTTGTGCTTCGGGCCTGAGTGTCTTAGCAGTCTGGGCTTCGGAAGGGTGGGCTCTGTGGGCTTGGGGCCTGCTAGCAGGTTAAGCCTGTCTGGAGGCTGGCCCAGGTTTAGGGGCGCAGAACTGAACTGACGGCTTCGGGCAGGCCTCCGTTCCGCCTGGGCAGGGTGTGAGAAGCTGCTCCTGAGGCTAGGCCTGTGGTCGCTGGGGGCTTCTGTGCTGATAGTCCGGCGCGGCGTGGCTTTTCCAGGAGGCCGTGGGCCCAGGTGGCTGGCATTGAGGCGGGGGGCCTGGTGCGCGCACTGGATCTCACCCTCTGCAGGCTTCCACAGGGCCGGGACCTCCAGGCAGGAGTGGTACTTGGTTTTTCTCTGTGAAAGACTTTTCTTTGGTCTTCTAGGTGGTAGCAGTTCAAGGTTTACAATCCCTGGTGGAGTTTGGTGGTTTCTGTTCAGTTGACTGTTCAGGTCTGCGTGTAAGTCAATCGTGAGTACACCGGAAGCCCTGGGCATGCCAACAGCTCTGGCTAGATGGATCCACCAGACCAATTAGTGGTGCAGCCCAGTTGGTCAAAGGGAGAAGTCGGGCACTGGCCAGGCCAGAAGGTCCCTGTGTCACTGGCAGAGTCCTGGCACCAGCGCTCAGGCAGAGGGCCCGGGCAGCGCCCCCTCCTGGCCGGGCTGGTGGCGGCACCCTCACACCACTTGCTTCCACAGTCCTTTTAAGATCCTTTCCCAGCTTTATGTTAAGAATTCTCTTTTTCTCTGGCAACAAAAGGAAGCCACCTCGTGGAGAACTTAAACACGGGGCATGGAGAAGGTGCAGCCTGCTCCCGCCGCGCGAGGCACCCACTTCTCCATCTTCAGGGTGGGCAGTGCGGAGAGTCTGAGCAGAGCGCCTCCCTCGTGACTAATGCATATCTACTCCTGTCAAAAACGTGTAGCAGAATGTACTTGAAACTGTTACCTTTGTGCTCTATTGTTTGAACAATTAAAGACGTTACAGAGACTTTCCGCGCTGTCTGTTCTGTGGCGGGATTCCTGTCCCATCCTGTCGTCTGCGATTCTCGTTTTCTTCCGTGATGTTGTGCTGAAAATGTGAAGGAATGAATCTTCTTAGGCGCAGACTTCAGATCCTCACTGGGCGGGTCTGGGCGGGCTGGGAGCAGTTCTGCTTGTGCAGCGAAGCACGTGACTCAGACCCGTGATGGAGCTCGCAGCACGGGGAGAAGGTGGCCTTGTCCTTTCCAGGAGCCCCTTTGCTCTGAGCATCACACCCACATGGGGAATATTCGACAGACATGCAAAGAATGCCGGTTGGTTGCAAGATTTGGCAAGAAAGCAACAAAGTGCCTCCCAGTGAGCCAGCTACAGGCTGGAGTCAGGGGCTGGCTCTTTGTCAGCATTCCGGGCTCTCTGATGAAAAGTGGTCGAAAAACAGTCCACTCAAGGGGGTCGAGAGGCCCAGGGAAGTGATTTTCATATCACTTCTTACAAACAAGTCACGAAGCCCTGTGAGCCCTGATTTTCCTGGGTGCTCTCCGGACGTGTGCTCTGGGACAGGGGTCTGCACACCACAGCCCTCGAGACAAACACGGACCTTGGCCTGTTTTTATACGGCTCACAACTGAGATTGGCTTTTACATTTTTAAATGGTTGAAAACAAAAAAAATCTAAAGAATAATAATATTTCATGACAGATGAACATTATATGAAATTCAAAATTCAGTGTCCATCAATATAGTTCCATCGGAATGCCCTGCTCGTTCCTTTACACACCGTCCAGGGGGCCTTTGCACCACCCGTACTGCGGAGTAGTTGCATCAGAGACCACATGGCCGGAAAGGCCTGAAATATTTACTGTCTGGGTATTTACAGAAAAAGTGTCCCAACCCAGCTCTAGGATATCTCACAGAAAGCAAGCTCGGCCGTGGGGCGGGGGGCCAGGGCCAGAACCTAGTGGTGTGTACACCATCACAGTGTGTTCTTCTATTGGAATTCAAAGGATCACCCCCTCCATCCCGCTCCTCACTGAGCACTGTAGGGGCTCAGGAGGGTAACAAGTCCAGGAAGAGCCGGTTGGCAGCCCCTCCACCTGGTGGTGTAACGGGCAGACCTTAATGCTTAATCAAGGGTAAGCTGAACTGGATGGAACAGCCTGTAAGGTGGGAGCCAGCCAGGACAGAAAGCAGTCAGAGGACGCCATCAACGTCTGTGCTCCCAACTCCCTGAGAAGCACACCGTAGGGAGAACATGGGAAGTCTGGATGTGGAGACAACCTTCTCTTCCTTTATTGGCCGAGCTTGATTTACCAAGTTAGGAAGAAAATAATCATCACTCACATTTTACTATAGAAACAAGCTCTGGGGCCTATGAAAGGAGATGTAGAAATTGGTGTGGAAGATTGCGCTTTCAATGGGTAGCTTTGGTTTTCAGGATGAAGGCAGCTGTGTTCCCAGGAGGGGGAAACTGGTTTAAAGAAGAGAGTCAGGAAGTCTGGAAACTGGAGATAAATTAGAAGAGATATTATGCCAAAAGTCCAAGGAAAAAACTCCCCTGTACAACCGAACTCAGTTCCTGGTTGGAAGCCTCTGCATCCCAGGGGAGGGCCCCAGGGTCTGCTTCCAGCGGAAACTGACACACTCCCCCCAGACACCATGCCCACCCTGGTTGGGAAATTCTCTTTCTCCAGACTCGGGCAGAGCTCGAGGACCCCCTCGAGGAGCCCGAAACCTGAAGGCAGCACAACAAACGCAATGTCTTCCAGGGGAGCCTCACACCCGGGCCCCTGCGTCTGTCCCCCTGCTGGCCGGTGTCGTGAGAGTCCCAGCCAAAACCCTCCCAGACTGTGCCCACCTCCCCGGTTCAGCGCTGCAGCACCCACCAGGCCAGCCAGGCATGGGCCCAACGAAGCAGGAGCCTGGGCGGAGAAGTGCGGGGTGGCGGGGCCACAGGAATCTGATAGTGTTGCTTCAGAAAGAGCGGGGACACGTCAGCATCAACCTGGGAACACCAGGGTGCAGGCGGACCTGCCCCTGACCCACGCTGTGTTATTCTTGCCGCGGTGGTGGCTCTCATTGTTATTTTGTGATACATATGGGAAGGCACAGCCATCTTTCCTGTGCCTGGGGCTCCGAGCCTTGGCCCAGCTCCCTGCTCCCCGTGTCCCAAAGGTTCCCTCACAGGACGTTCTCCTGGGGCTCCTGCAGCTGCCACCCTCGGGGGTGCTGCCGAGCACCCCCTCACCGCAGCGCCAGGCAGCCAGCTTCCACGTCTGTGTGTGCGTTCCAGCTGGTCCAGCTTCGGGTTCCCACTGAGACCAGCAGGCCCCATCTCTGCCTTTCAGGCCCTCCAGCGGTCCACCCAGGGCAGGCGGGGAGAAGCCAACAGGAGCAGGAGGCTGCCGGCACCACCAGGGACAAGGCCCGCCACTCCCAAGTGTGCAGGCCACTCTCCATGTGGCGTCCAGTGGACTCGGAGGCTGAACACTCCTGTCCCCTCGGCGCTGACCCTGGCAGCATGAGCACCCAGCGTAAAGGGCGGCTGGGAGCAGAGGGTGGGCCTGGGGTAGTACTGGGGCCGGGTCTGGCGGCACCTGCCTCCCTCCGGCCTCCTCAGCTCCAGGCCAAGCAAGTTCCCTGTGCTTCAGTCTCCCCTCAGGGCAGCCGGCTGGAGGAGCACGTCCCCCTGCGTGGAGCCCGAGCGCCCTCTGGTGGTGGCGTTGGGAGAAGGACAGGGCCTGGGCCAGCGTGCCTCACAGACCCGCACGACGGCAGCTGGGGGCCCAGCAAACACATGTCAAGCG